GAGGCCCTGGGTTCGATCCCCGGCACCACATAGAGATAGAGATAAAATAAAATAGATACAGGTATGAGTCCACCGACAACTGATAATAATAATAATAATAGAAATAATAATAAAGGCAGAAACGGTGGGCTCCTGCTGGCTGTCTGCGGACTCGCAGCCCTGGTTATTACATATTTCACACATTATTCCAATCGTTTCCCACGTGCCCTGTGCAGCCAGCACTCCCCCGGGTGCTTGCTGTGGTCCTGTGAAGGGCAGATGGCCACTGCTTTTTCCTGTGACGGCCTGGGGATGGGACCCTGTGAGGCACGCGCTCTACCACAGCCACACCCCCGACCCTGGGCTCTGTGTCCTAAATCATTTCATCCTCTGTGCTCCTGGTTGAATTTCCCATTTTCTCCTTCAGCATTCACCAAACGACACTCGACGCCAGGCCCTGCCCAGGGCACTGGAAACCTGGGGTCACTGCAGACAGATCCTTGGGGCGGAAGTAGCCTGATCTGGGCTGGGACCCGTGAAAGATGTTCGGGCACCGGGGAAAGCACGGGGCTGCCAGGTGTGGCCTCAGTTTCCCCCTCTGTCAACGGGGACTGTGACCAGGCTCCCCTGGCGGAGTTGCTGGGGCCCTGGGTTTGATCCTGGTGCCGCAGAAGTGCTCAGCAGCCCTGGCCTGTCCATGCCCACCTGTCACCATCCCCTCAGGAGCAGCGAGGAGGAGTGGCTGGGGCATTGATGGTGCCCTGCTAAAGATCACTGGCTTCTTGTCTGCCGTGACTAGAGCCCAGGACGTGTCATGCCGGGAGGTCGCCCCGTGGGGGCAGAAGCCGCGATGAGCTGTGCAGCTCAGTCCTCAACCGAAATCTTAGCAGCAACCCAAACGCACTGGGGTGAAGCCGATCAGAGGGGCGGGCACCAGAGGCTCCAGGCTGTTACCACCCTCCCTGGTCCAGGACGCTGATGCTTGCCTTGCTCCCAGGGACCCCCGAGAGCCACTGGGAATATCTCCCCCAAATCCATGTTCAGGGACAAGGCTGGTGGCTTGGAGGTGGCCAAGCTCAGAGGATTTATGCCAGGGGAGCTGGCAGTATGCCCACCCTGAGGGTGTTTTCCAGCTTCCCTGCCTGCCCCTGGCATGGACGTGCCCACTGAGCTGCGCTCCGGCTGACCGTGGAGTAAGGGTCACGCAGGGCAGCCACCCACCAGGCCTTCACGTTGGGGGGCTGATTTTCCAAAGACATTTAGTGTCTTGGAAAGGCCTGTCCACAGTCTACTTCGACAACCTGCCTTGAAGTGCATTGACTGCGTATTTGTTCTTGGGGTGCCTGAGGGGGGATGTTGGGGTTCATCCCCTTGGCAAACCCTGGTAGGCAGGGGCAGGGGCCAAACGCTTTGGGAACGGGAGCTGGGGAATGGCTGGGCTTTGCCTGTCACCTGGTCTCTGATGCAGTCCGTCTCTGCCACTGTAGCTGGGACAGCCCCAGCAGAGCTCTCCCATAAACCCGACATTTGAATCTCCTACTGTTTCCACATCATGAAACACAACTCTTCTTCTGAGTTTAAAAAAGATCGTTTAGAGACTTTAGAGACGTCCTCTGCTGCTGGACATACAGAAGCAGGCAGCAGACCCAGGGTGGCCTGGGAGCCCCGACTCCCAACCCCGGCTCTAGAATGCAGGAGAGGCCTGGGGGCAGCCAGGGCCCTGGGGCCTTCTATTCTGCCAGAAATGTCTGGTCTGTGTGCAGCCCCAAGTGCTGCCCTGGGCGGCCAGGCACACAGAAAGC